GAGGGGATGGGACTCAGCATAGGAGTGTGGGATTTGGTGGGCTGGGATCTGGGTGCATCTGGTTAGGTTTTAATGGGTTGTGTGGCTCATCAGGGTGGTCTAGGTGCAACAGTGGTGATGCTTGTCAGGGTTGGGGTTCAAATACAGGGTGCTTAGAGCAAGGGAGTGAAACTTGGTGTATGGGGTTTGAGCATGGAGGATTCCAGATGCATGCAAGATAGATGGACAGGGAAATAGCTCCCTCTACAGAAACCCCTTCCTCTGCAGCTGATGGTAGGAAAACTGCTCTGGGCATGCGAAACAACATGCCTGAACTGCTCGGGATGCACATGCAGCTTCTCTTGTGGCTTACCTTTGCTTGTCTATCAAAAGTCATTTTTTTGTTGGGAAGCAAAGAAACGGGGGGAGGGGAGGGAAGGGGCACGAATTCAAAGGCCCAGAATTCCCCCAAGAGAGTTACTAAGTATAAAGCCTGCAATCCCAAGAGTGTATATTTTTTCATAGAATCATAGAACTGGAAGGGATCTCGAGAGGTCATCAAGTCTAGTACCCTGCCCTCACAGCAGGACCCAGTACCATCTAGACCATCCCTGATAGACGTCTATCTAACCTGCTCTTAAATATCTCCAGAGATGGAGATTCACAACCTCCCTAGGCAATTTATTCCAGTGTTTAACCACCCTGACTGTTAGGAAGCTTTTCCTAATGTCCAATCTAAATCTCCCTTGCTGCAGTTTAAGCCCATTGCTTCTTGTCCTATCCTCAGAGGCCAAGGAGAACAATTTGTCTCCCTCCTCCATGTGACACCCTTTTAGATACCTGAAAACCTCTATTATGTCCCCTCTCAGTCTTCGCCTTTCCGAACTAAACAAGCCCAATTCTTTCAGTCTTCCTTCATAGGTCATGCTCTCTAGACCTTTTATCATTCTTGTTGCTCTTCTCTAGACCTTCTCTAATTTCTCCACATCTTTCTTGAAATGTGGTGCCCAGAACTGGATACAATACTCCAATTGAGGCCTGATCAGCTCAGAGTAGAGCAGAAGAATGACTTCTCGTGTCTTGCTCACAAGACTCCTGTTAATGCATCCCAGAATCATGTTTGCTTTTTTTTTGCAACAGAGTCACACTGTTGACTCATATTTAGCTTGTGGCCCACTATGACACCTAAATCCCTTTTGCAGTGCTCCTTCCTAGACAAGTTGCCTCCCATGCTGTATGTGTGAAACAGATTGTTTCTTCTTAAGTGGAGTACTTTGCATTTGTTCTTCTTAAATTTCATCCTATTTATCTATTAAATTTTGCATTTAATAGCATTTATAAGCTTGTTTCTGGAGTGAACAGATGCCCCTAACAGGTTACATGATAGGTTAGATATCTACTTTTTTAAAAAGTGCCTTGAACATAAATGGCATAGTTCATATTAAAATGTATAAATGTCTATCTTTTCTTGTTAAGATTCTGATCACCCAAGTACACAAAATACAAGTAAAATGACCTGTCTAGTAATACTTATAAAATAATGACTTGAAATTCTATGGTATTATTAGTGTACCTTGAAGGGCTTACTATTGAACAACATGTGGAGTGCAAGCTTAACTTAAGTTTTCTGAAACTTACCTATTGAGAATCATTTGGTTTTTTTGTATTGATGGACTGCAGTCTAGGTCATTAAATTACTTATTATTCTTACTGAGTATTATCAGTTTGCTTGATGCTGTCCTATCCACCTCAGCAACTTCCCTATCCCTAGACATGAGAAGTAATTCTTCTATTATATATCACTGATTAGGGCTCAAATGGAATACTGTGTCCAGTTCTGGGCACTGCATTTCAGGGAAGATGTGGAGAAATTGGAGAGGCTCCAGAGAAGAGTCACAAAAATGATGAAAGGTCTAGAAAACATGACTTATGAGCAAAGACTGAAAGAACTGGGTTTGTTTATTTTGGAAAAAGAGAAGACAGAGGGGACATGATAGCTGAATGGGATTGCATGTCTCCAGCAATGCGTTGCCTGACAGCTGCAGGGAAGGCGCCAGCCCTTTAAATAGAAACAGTTAAAAGGCTTCGCAGCTCCCAGCACCTCTAGTGTGTTGCTAGGGAGCCAGAGACGTGAGCCCTTTCAACTGCTTCTATTCCTGGGTGTGATGCAGGTGCAAGCCCTTTAAACAGAAGCAATAGAAAAGAGCTCACAGCTCTGCCCCACTGGCTCGTTGCCTGGGAGCTGCCTGGAGGTACAAACCCTTTCAACTGCTTCTATTCAAAGGGCTTGTGCCTGCCAGGCAGCTACCAGATAACAGGTTAGCAGTGGGGGCCAGGAGCTATAAGCCCTATTATATGAAATCTAAGCCTCCACCCCAGACAACTGTTAGAAGGCTAGACCCTGGCACCCTCCCTTCTGGTCTAGATCCCTTCCATTGGCCAGAAGTCGAGGGTAGGGACCCCAGGCCAAGCAAAGCTCCCAGTAGGGGAGCTCTCCACCCTGCCCCTTCCACCTGAAGCCCTGTCCCTTCTGGGTTGGTCCGCAGCCACTTCTGAAATTTGTGAAGTGGTTCCCCTTCAAAAAATATTACCCACCTCTGATTTAGATGGTGCTTGGTTCTGCCATGAGTGCAGGGGACTGGATTTGACCTCCAGTTTTAGAATAATAAAATACTATCTCCCTCAATAACGACACCAAAGGCATTGTGACTCATGGCACTTGACACTGATTGGAAGATAGCATAAGGAGTACACAGTGGCTTAGAGAAATTCCTGGGTCTGATGTCTATACAATAGCATTCCAAAAGATGGCCTGTGAGCTTTCTACAAACAACCAGTAATTCACAGTTCATCCTAATTATTGAGAGAGATATGTACAGAGGATATTGATAGAGTTATGTAATTGTACTAAAGACTAGGCTTTTAATATATGTAAGGAAGTTGCCACCAGCCTCTGTCTGTGGGTTTCCCAGTGGAGAGCTGGGCCCACGCTGGACAGGGGCTGCTGGACTCAGTGTGAGCCAGGACCGAGCAGTCCTGGCTGGCACTGGTCCGGGACGCTTCAGCTCTGCATTTTAAATGTAGTAAAAGCCCAGCGTGGGTTGCTCTGAGCTCAGTCCAGCTCCTGAAGCTACCCCCACTGTGGCTCTGCAGCATGGACCTTATTGACTAATCGTGTAGACGATACAAATTGTATCAACTACACAATTAGTCAGATAGCTGCAATTTAACATTCTTAGCTCCAAGTCCACCCATCCTTCTCCCCTTCTACTTCCATATGCTCTGTCCTCCTCCTGTGTTGTTTCCCCCTCCCCGTCACTTACTTAAGGCTAGTCGTCAGGAGCCATCTCCTCCACTCAAGGGAAAGCCTGCTCGTATAAGCACCTCCACTGATTCTCATCCTCATTCTTCTCAACAGGGGCCAAAGAGGCTTGGACCCACAAGTAAATCTGAGATCCTTTGGAGCTCCCCAGATGCTTTACTGTTGCTGAACAGCTGTTCAATTTACTCCTTTCCCTAAGTCTATCAGAGAATGAAGGTGACTTCTTTGCCCAGATGAACAGCTTATAGGTGGCCTGTAAGGAGAGGAGATGGGGAAGGAAAGAGGAGCCCAAAAATGTTGGACATCATCTCTTCACTAAGACGACAGAAAATATCATATTGCCTCCATATTGGAGTCAGCAACCTTCACCATGCAGCCCATCAGGGTAACCCACTAGCAGGCCAGGAGACGTTTTGTTTACATGGATATCTGCAGGCATGGCGCTGCACAGATCCCAGTGACATCATTTCACCGTTCGTGGCCAATAGGAGCTACGGGGAAATACTGTACACTGCAAAAACATGCTTGCCGCTGCATCCTGCAGCTCCTGTTGGCTGGGAATGGTGAACCACAGCCACTGGGAGCTATGGGAGGCCTGCCCCCTCCACTGCCTCTGTAGGATGCAGCAAAGAAGGAGGGGGAAGTGGGGTCTGTGGAGGTGGCATGCCAGGGGAGCTGGCTTGACAGTCAGCTCCCCACGCATTTTGGCTCCAGCCTGACCCTCCTCCCCCCATGCTGCTGCCTCTCTATTGAGGGGGTGGGGGTTGGGCAGGCGGATCCAGTGATCACAGGGAGCCAGCTTTTAAGCTAGCTCCTCCCGGCACTGACTCTCACTCTCCCACCTTGCAAAAGCTTGGGGAGGAGGGGAGGAAGAGAATGCCTGTAGTCGACAAGATTAACTGGTAAGCCCAGGGTTGTGTCAGTTAATCGTGTAGTTGTCTACACAATGACATCCTTACAGCTGGACAGGCTAGCCATGGGCATCTAGTTAGTGCAGAAATATCCTACGTGACCTGATCTTCTCCCCATTAGCAAGATCTTTTGTAAAGGGTATTACTGATTACTTTACTCCCCTTTCCCCCCCCTGCTATTTTGATAAAGGCTACACACATCATTTATGAAAGTAAATTAATGTCTTCCTGGTACTGGGGGGGGGGCGGGGTCAATGTAACCTTCCCAAGTGATACCACCTGCCCCCAGCCCAGGGCCCCCCCAGTCTTCCCCTCCCCTCTCCTTCTCACCCCATGTTACCCTGGTACAGAGCAGTACAACAGCCAGAGGAGCTGTTGGGGTTCTGCTCCTTTCCCGAAGCATTTCTGTGGAGTTGCATCTCCTCTGGCCTCATCTCATCTTCCCCAGTGGGAGGGGCAGCAGAATACTGGCAGCGGGGATGGTATCAGCTCCCCTGCCCCCAGCCCTGTTCTCCTGACAGGCAGCTCCATGGGTGGTACGGGATCTATAAATAGTTTACCAGCCCTAAGCACTTTCTTACCAGTGCTCCATACTTACTTTTACCTCTGCCTGCTACACAAAAGCCCCGTGAATGCGTGTGCGGCATGTAACATTTCAGTGCATGCATGGGCATGGAAGCAGACAAATGGTCACATGTCTCACAGGCAAAGGGGTAGTGAGGCTGAATTCATCTGCCAGAATCTAAAGGGAAGAGAAAGCCACGCCATGGCATGATACAGGAACTTACCCCCCTTCTGAAGTATGAAAAGTGGACAAACCCTGGAGGTCTGGGGGGTAACCGGGGCCGGCGTGGTGCCTCCCTTGGCTCCCATGACTGCCTTCGCTGCTGCTCAGGTTGCCTTTGGCCAGGGGTTTCTTGCTGTAAATGTAGGCTCCAGCGTCTGTCTCAAACCCATTCAGTGCTCCCCGACTAGTTCTCGTCTCTGTAGCTTCAGGCTGGTAGCCATCACTTCTGTTCTCATATGAAGCAGGGGGATTTTTGGACAATTTATATCCATGAGAAATCAGGAGGTCCTCCACACTGAACATGTTGCGTTGATTTCAGTCAGTCACAGTTACACCAGGAGAAAGCTCTCTTCTGTGGGAGCCATCACTGAAAGAGGGAACAGAAAGCTGCTCTAACAAGGAAAGACAACTTGACTCAATTGGCAGGCTGCTGGGTGCAGAGTTTCATCCTCTGGCCTCAACATTAAAAAACAAAACAAAAAAAAAACCATAACAATGAAGCGCATGCAGATGCTGATGAATCATGTACTGACCTTCCCTAGATAATATACCTAAATCTGTTCAGCCAGGGAACAGATGCAGAGCTGCTGCTGCTGAGTCAGTGTATTTGACTGAAGAATTTGGTGATGATTGCAGCTTTCAGATTTTGATAAGTGATCTTGAGAAGCTTTGCTCTGGAGCTAAGCAAAGCTTTGAGAAAGGCATTTTCAGAGAAAAGGCCTTACTCAGATCAGGTGGAGTTGTGCTTTATGCTGGGAGGAGGAGTTAGATCGCAGGGCAGCACAGCCTCTTCCTGGAGCTCTGCATATTCTATCAACATTGTGACCAAGCACAAAAATAACAGAACACAACAAAAAAGTGCATTATGTTAGTCAATAAAGACACTGCTAACCTCTGCTGTGCCCCCAATTAGACTCCCTTGTTTACAGTCTTTAAAGGTTGCTTTTAGGGGAGATTTCTTTACTGCCTAAGTGGGTCTGTTGAAATCTGTAATCAGCTAACAGGTGTAATACAAATCAAAGAAGCCAAGTAAATTGCATTTTAAATGCAGCTGCTCTGAAAAGTTGCTCTATTAAAAAAAAAGTCACAAGTTGCCATGTTTGTTGTTGCACAATGATTTTCAAAGCAAATCTAAAGTTGAAAGATTTTTCCTTGTCTCTGCCAGCCCCTCAGACTCAGCCCGAGTTCTTTGCTGGCTGCGCATTGTTATATTACTAGTAATAGGTTCCAATTAGTTGATCTGCAACAATTTCTCTTGGCTAGCTCAGCCTTGGAACCTCTTGTAAATTCTACTGTTCTAGCTCATTATATTTAGGGGGTACCAAGTCTTCAGTGGTTTGGAACTCAGTAAACACTTATGCAGATGATGCATGAAGAGAAGAGATTCCAGCACACACACACTCAGCTGTGCTGTGCTGCCACATCCCTGACATAGGGGATGAGACTGGGGGAGTGGGGAGGGGGAGGCCTCTTCACTACCTGCCAGATCCACAGGGGTTGATTATCGCATCTAGTATAGATGTGATAAATCGACTGCCGTGCACTCTCCCGCCGTCTCCCGTACTCTACCACAACAAGAGTAGAGGGAGTAGATGGGACAGTGACTTCCTGCAGTGAAGATAGCACGGGGTAAGTAGATCTAATTACATGGACATCAGCTAGAAGTCATGTAACTTAGATTAACGGCCCTCAATAGAGTGGACTATGCCTTGTAATACACCCAGGGAGCAAACACATTGTGTAAGACACTCAGTAGGGCCACTTGGTAGCAGGGTTGTGCAAACATGCTCAGAGTTACATGTCCCTGGTAGTGGCAGCTCTGCGTAAAGGAGAAGAACCTCTTGTTTCTAGATGCTCATGAAGTTTGTCCTTCAGTGGTAATGCTAGAGGCCTGTGCTTTGGTGCATGAAATCCTCGGCTCTATCATGGAGGATGATCATTACAAAGAGGCTCTACTCTGTGCTAAAGAAACAGTCCCATTCACCCTATCAATCACTATGAGACACTTTACATGGAGGAGGCTCTCTGGGGGGACAAGGCACCTTTACCTAGTGTATTCCAGAAGCCAGTGTTCAGCACAGAACCACACTTTAAACAGAGCCTGCACAGACCATGCAAGTGTTACTTAAGGGTTTTAAAATACTTCCAAGTGTTAGAACCTTTTCAGAACCTACACCAGTCCCTGCATAGAGCCTAAAGAATCTGTGCTCTGTCTCCTGGACATGGTATTGTATACTTCTTAAAGAAATAAAACATTTTCCAGTAATATTTTAGTTAACAGAACAGGGCTCCTCATACTCCATACATGCTAAACCATACTAGAAAGTACAATGATCAGCAAATAGTCACAGGGATAAACAAGCTAGCCAAAAAGTACTAGACAAATACCTGGAAGAAAGAAATGGAAAGGAAAATGATGTTATTTTTAAAATAACACCACACACGTCAATAACAGGAGGTGGGGCCAGATCAGGTCAATTCAAACAATTTCTCTATTCCTAACTGTTTCTAGAACAGAAGCCTGGAATTGTGAGAGGTTAAAAAAGTCACCGAAGACAGAACAGCTGGCTGCTAGAGCTCGTCGACCTCCAAAGAGAAAGATTCAGTGTGACTACATAAACAATAGAAAGCCCACTGGACAGCGCACAGGTGCAAAGAAGAGAAGTGCTTTTCCTGTTATTGCTTAGGGGTCGATAGTAACTTTGCTACTGCTGGGGATAGCGGCCAGGTGAACAGTGTTTGTCAGAGGTTGTAAGAGAATGGGTGGCAAGGGAAGGCTCAGCTTTCCCAAAACTGCCTACATGACTGACTACCTAAGGCTAGGGCCGCTGCCAAGGAAGGCTGGAACCACGGTGTGGCAGCTCTGCTACCTCTGGCCTCCTGGGAAGGCAGCCCAGCTCAGCAGCCTGGGCACCAGGGTGGGGAGGGATGGGGCCACGATGGGTTAGTGAGCTTTTCCTGGCTGGTGGCGAGGACTGGGGGCATCACGATAACCCCGGCTTCTCCACGTGGCCAAGCAAGATCAGGCTGGGAGTGGGCGAGGCTTGGCTTCAGCGGCAGGGCCTTGGGCAGAAGGGGTGGGGCTGGGTCTTGCCTCCTACACATGGGTGTCAGGTGAAAGCCCCACTGGGGAAGGCAATATATAAAGAAAGAGAGAAACAGGCCATTTAAAAAAACAGACAAAGCCTTTGGACCACAGGTCTTTCTCTGATCTCACTTTCAACACTGAGTCACAAGTAACTTCAATGACATCAATGAAGTTAAACCATGGGAAGGGCCCAGTGGCAGCTGAGACCCAAAATAGCCCCTCAAGGTCAAGCACATTGGAAAGTGAAAGACTGAAGTAGGATGAGAGGTGTTAGAGGAAAGAGTCATTTGGTAGGACAAGTGGACCAGTAGGGGGTGCGGTGCCCTCTTACACATCAGTGCCCTGATCTTCAGCATGAAACACTGAGACACTTCACCATGAGCTCTCTCCTCATCCCTCTCCCTCCCAGCTAACTCAGTCTTATCTCCCTGCTGTCTCTCCATTCCCACACTCGCCCCCAAGGAACCTCCATCCTCATTCACTAAGGGTACCTCTAAACTATGTGCTATTTTCGAAAGAGGATATACAAATTTTGAGGGAAGTCTAGACATAGCCTGGAAGTTTTGCTTCTTGTACGCCGGATGCCCTGCCGCCGGAGCCCCTCCGCGGCTTTAAAAGCCTCGGGGGAAGCCGGCGGCGGGGCATCCCAGGCGCGCCTGGGATGTATACCCAGCGTACAAGACGACCCCCGATTTTTGGGGGATGTTTTTTTAACATCAAAAGTCGTCTTGTACGCCGGAATATACGGTACTGCTGGCTGTGGTCAGCTATGGGTGCTCTGCCAATCAGCTGGACAGCACCTGAATCTCTCCTCAGCGGCTGCCCAAATGCTCAGCTTTACAGGGAACACTGCATCTAAGTGTTTACGTTCCATTTGAATAAGGGAGCTATGCTTTTGAAAAAAAAAAAACTTTTCCTTGTGTCTTCAAATGTGATTGCTTACAGAAATGTATGTAGGTTCTAATATGCGTATGGTTTTCCACAGGTGCTAAGCAGTCATTTTATACGATGGAAATGTGTAATCTAGTCCTCTTCCAACACTATATAGTTCCTGGATTGTGGAAATACTGCAAGAAGATCAGATCTTACATTATTTCAGCCCCAATATGGTGTCCTGAGGCAAAAAATATTTAAATGTGACCACAAATACCAAGCTCTTCACACGTTGCCTAGTTGGTGCACATAGGATTAACTTAGTGCACATGGACCATGAAGACACAGCCCTGGTTTATTCTCCTGTAAGTTGTGTTTAAGAAACAAATGAAAATTGTGTATATTAAAAAGCAAATGACAGCAAAATAAAGTAACCCAGGGGGTAAGGGCAGGCTTGAACTATTGCTCTCTTTGAAAAACTCTGGCTAACTGGGCCAGAAAGTGGATGTGCAGAGCTTCTAACTTAATGTAAGATCAACAATGCTGGAAAACAGTTTGCTTTCCCAGAGCTCATTTGTTTTGTTTGCCAATGACATCATCATGTTCTGATAGGTTTTGCTTCCTGAGGATGCCTGTTATCTCGCCAGTGTTTCCGACTTGCCAAAGTCAGCCGGCTCTGGAAGGTAGTGGAAACACAGGTTAAACTTTCTTTGGCCCCCTGTAAGTTACCACGATCAGAGTCAAAGAAATGAGGGTGCATTCAGGCATGGAAACACTGCCTTAGAACACACATATGCAAGCAAAAGTTAAGGATTAAAATCTCCAGTACCTGCCTACAATAGAACCCCCAAGGGCAACATTGAAAGAGTTCCTGATTGTGGATTGCACACAAAAAAGAATTTTGGTGTTCAACAGTTTGTCTTGGGCCCTTAACATTTCCTGAATTTAACCCCCCCCCCTCCCCACACACACCACCCTCCACCTACCCCCAACAAGAAGAAGTATTGTCATTATTTATCTTCTCTTGTCCTTCAGACAATAATATAGATACCAGGAAAAACTTAAATAGCAACAAGTGGTCCTGCACCATCTTAGAAACTAACAAAAAATGTAGATGAGCATCATGAGTAGATAGTATTAAATGAAGAAGTGGGTTGTGCCCATGAAAGTTCATGATATTATCTACATTTGTTGTAAGTCTCTAAGGTACGTAGGACCACTCATTGCTTTTTAAGTTTTTTCTGTTACAGAGTAACACAGCTACCCCTCTGAGACAGATACCAGGGTGCAAGATCAATGAAAGAACAAAAAGATAAACTGGACCTACTGAGCGTATACACACAGCACACATACTGGGAGTTGAATGACTGCGCCTGAGCCGGGGCAGAACTGGAGAGTGATGCACAGTGTATGTTCCAACTCATCAGCCGAGTCTCTGATATACTCTCTCTTGTTCTCAACATATTCTATTAGCGCCTGAGCTGTAGAAGTGCTGATCACTGAGGGTTTGTCTACACTAACCCCCTAGTTCGAACTAGGGAGGCTAATGAGGGCGACCGAAGTTGCTAATGAAGCACAGGATTTAAATATCCCTTGTTTGATTAGCATAATCCCGGCCTGTTGCCATTTTGGAAACTGACTAGCCCGAAGTAACTGCCCACGTCTATACGCAGCAGAGAAGCGGGATTCAGAGATAAAGCCCTTATTTTGAATTAACTGTTAAACCTCATTCCACGAGGAGTGCTGATTGGAGCCAGTGGGAGGTGCAGTGCCCAGCATCTCTGTAAATCAGACCCTTAACAAGCAACAACCCCTGATAGGTTAGGGTATGTCTACACTACCCCGCTAGTTCGAACTAGCGGGGTAATGTATGCATACCGAACTTGCTAATGAAGCCCGGGATTTGAATTTCCCGGGCTTCATTAGCATAAAGCCGGCTCCGCCATTTTTAAAAGCCGGCTAGTGCGAACCCCGTGCCGCGCGGCTACA